GTATAGGCCTGTTGCAGTTTTTTAATGTAAGACTACGGTTCCAGCTCTAATCATCACCGCTACCATCATTATCATCACCATCATTATCATCATCCTCATTATTATCATAAAGGCACTTTAGATAAATAATAATGAATTGTTTTTGGTATCGCTCCAGGTGTCGTTTTACATATAAACATTACTCAATGGAGTTGAAAGACTACTAAGGAGACAAGTAGTTGTGTTTAAATTAATACGGTCAATGGAATAATACAATAGAACGCAACTGTCAGAAAGGCAATAATGTATGATATGAGTGCGAAATCAAGAGAAACATACAAATTTGAATATGCGCTATTCTACTTTATTAACACTTCTTCTAGTGCTAAGAGACAAACTTAGCATATTGAGCTATGAAAACATAAGTATAGAAATTAAGCGTATAAAGTCAAGCGATTTGCGAAGTATGGAAATATAATAGGGACCGAACCTATCGTTTTGACACTCACGAAAAATTATCAAGTGAATGAGTGTCTTTCGCAAATCTAGATACTTGTATAAAAATGATATTTCTACACAAGCCCGGAAATACCAATCACCTGATATCATTATACAGTAGTCACCTTATTCTAAAAATGCAAGTTCATCAAAAATAAAATGTTTGTTTCAGTCTAATCTTGCTAATTTTCAAGCCTTAACAATAAGGACTATAGTACGGCAAGTTGTTGCCTAGATAAGAAAGCAGTACTACACCCTGCCAGCCATCGTACGTTTCCGGATTATATTTCGTTGAAACCAATGTTTTAACTATGAATCACTAACTACTATACTACTATAGTATTAACATCAAAATCGTTAATCTAGATTACCAACGTTCCTAAATGGTAGTCGTCGTATTTACAGTGTAAAATAATATAGTCTAAAATATATACATTTTGATCTACTGCGGCTACATATTATATTCTCTTAAATCATAAATAAATCAGAACTTAAATTATCTACCAATAAATATATGGGATAATCGCTTTGATGTAAAAATAATATTACCAATTTCAACATGTTTCAATAAACAATTCTTAATTACATGTAAATTAATTAATTCTAGGAAATTACACCTACTCATTAATATACGGGTGTGAAATTCTGAATTTTAAACGTAGAATACTGTTTTTGGTTTAGGAGTTAGAGGTCGAGAATAGTAGATGGAATAAGATTCCATTCCAGTGTCGTTTGTAATAGCTCTGTAATTTTTTTTCGATCGAATATGAATTCCATTTTACATTGATTTGTCCTTTCTTTTCTCAGATCAGAAATCGATTTAATCCAAAATTGTATTATACTCTTCCTTGCATTTACAAATTTTATTTATCATTATGTAACCTACTAAACACAAAAAGTACAAATTGTGTTTAATTTGCTGATGTTAACGGCTAATATATCGACAAATAAGCACGGTTTTTTAAATGCTTCAATTAATTCATTTTACACTTTTCTCAAGACATTTTATAGAAACTTAAATAATTTTTTACTCTTGCTCAACGCAAAGTTTTCAACTTACATTTCTGTAAAAAAATGTAAAAATATAGTAAAAATGTTTTATTAAATTTTGAGCATTGTATTTTTATAAAGCTGGGTGGTTGAGGTTCTCATGCTAACGCAATAGTGATTAGGTTTGCTTTTGAGTTCCTTTCCAACAACTCGGTGGATTGTTTACCGTCTTATTTTGACAATAAAAAATAAAAAGAATAAATAATAAAAAGAGAATTGATTATTTGACAACACTGGATCTTTATTGTATTATTATATAATCGCCAGTGGCCTATATATTGATGATGAATAAAACCCCAGTTAGGGTAAATAAATTGAAACGTAAAATTTGATGGTACATTATTATTACTTTATTATTACTATTCTATAAATGTTGGACGCCGTATCCGAGGTTACACATAAAATTACATTTCAAATATTCATTTAAATATAGCGATCTTTGTTTCAATAAACAGTTAATTACATGCAATCATCTAAATTAGTTAATTCTATAAAAAAAAAAATACACCTATTCACCTCGTACCGAATCAAGTATTTAATTTGTGTTTTATTTATTTATTTATTTTTTTGCATCGAATAATTTTAGAGAGTGAAAGTGAATGTGTTGACTTCATTCATTGGGTCGTTTGTCGTTCGTTTGAATTCGTTCGTTTGTCCATCTGTCCGTTCTTTTGAATTGATTTATTGTATGCCTTCCTAAGGCTTCCTTCGTCCATCATTGATCTTCCTTCCATCAAGCCATCCATTTATATATCCATCTTTCAAAGCCATCCATTTATCTATCCATCATGCATGCCATCATGCATGCATCCATCTATCCATGTATCTCATCCCGTTATCTCATCCATACACACACCATCAGTTAATTTAAAAAAAAAATTTATTTATTCAAATGAATGAATAACTAAACCTTTGTCAGCAAACATCTTCAATTCCTTAAATACACTTATATATTATAAAAATATGATGCTAAGACCTTTGTGTATATATATAAATTACTGTATCACTCTGTCACAAGAGTAGGGACGCTGGCGTAGTGCATCCAAAACCTGGTCCGAATTTTGGTTTGGGATCCGATGTGAATGCAGCCTTATTTAATGAAGATTACTCTTGGCCCAGTTTATCATTGTTTCTAAACTCTGTTTTGCAACGGTCTACTTCTAGAGTTAAAATTTAAATTTTGCCTGTTTGTCGAATCTGTTTTACAGCAAAATGTTGATTTGATGGCCGATCGAAAACTACTGGACATGAGTGCATAAATAAATGGATTAACGCAGCTATTAGATACTCTAAGTAGATTAGCCAAAAAGAACCAGGGTGTCGCGGAAGAATAGTACCATCCATTTTTGTTCATAATCCAAAAACGAAAAATTGCACTCGGTGACGTCATGCACAGAAAGCCAACAGCCACGATGATCACCGTTTTTAGAGCCTGAAGAAAAGACGAAAATTTTCAGTGCCAACCATTAGTGGTTGTGGTTTAATAATAATAATGTTATTAATATATATAGGCCTATATATATAA